TTTAATAACATTTTCAAGTTTCGTTATCGAACTATTTGCAACCAAAAGACATGATTCAAGATTAATAAAATTGTGTCGATTAAATAATAAATCAATAATAGATGTATAATCACGAATTTTATCATAAACTTCTATCGAAATAACTTGATGAGCATGAAAAGTAAGATGAGAAGAAATAAAATCAACTTGACGACGAGAATGATTATATAAAACAACAATACGAAGTGGAATTGATTGTAATATAGACGAAATACGTTTATTTAATGAAGTAAAACTAGTAAAAATTTCAAGTGCATGTAAATAATCAAATATTTCGAAGAAAATTTCATTTGATAAATCTTCGAAATGGGTATATCTATCCATTTGTGCAGGTAATAAGAATAAATAATGATAAAGATTATACGAGTTAGTTTAGTCGTCTGTAACGATTGTATGAAATGGCAGAGTATTGATACAGAATATATTATATACTTTATGATACACAGCCTATAAGCAATATTGACGATAATGAGAAAATGAAAAATGATGCTGACTGTTGATTCTATTGTAATATTTGAAAGAAAAATCATAAGACATGTGCTGACGATATCAATTCGTCCAATCATTTTCGATCACAGTAATTTTTGTCCATATTGTAATTGATCTGTAGGATGGTGAACGATGATTCATCGTTCATTTCTAACAGTCGCATGATTTAACACACCTATGCACTATGAAATACACATCTGTTTCCCAAAATGGATCTAATTGAAATTAAAAGCAATCTTAAGGTTGTTTCCAAAAAAAATTATGTGTTTGCTGAATCTTGCTTTTCCTAACAAATATTCATCAAAGTAATGGTTAAACGAATAGTAACGTGTGAAGATGATTGGATCATAACTTGTATAGTTGAACACTTATTTAGTCGTTGATTTTGATTTAATTTTAATACTGAAAATTAGTAATAAAATTAATTGTATTAATCGAATGCTTGCTGCTGTAAGAGATAGACAATGTACATTCTTTCAAGTATTTTATTTCTTTTTTATAAATATTAAATCTTTTTTGTTTATGCGTATCATAGATAGAAAATGTACGTGATGATGAAACACATATAACTCAATTGAAACACATTACACTTGATTGTTGTATTGAATCATTTTCTTGGTTAAATGCAAGGACTTTTATATTATTCGATTTGTCTGTACGTGTACATGATATGTAAGGATTTATCTGAAAAAAAAAGATTCTTTGGAATTTTTGACCAAAATCGTGAGATATATATATGTATTATAAGGAAATATATCAAGTCAACAGACTATGAGAGCCTCTTATTCAAACATGAAATGAGGAGGGCACTCGAATCTTTAAAGTCACTACTAAAAAATATCAACGCATAGAATGTTTGTATATTTCATTTGAGTTTTTTTTGAATAGTGATCAACATTCTGAAGAACAATTAGAATGTTTATTTTTATCTTATTGGGAACTTATTTATAATACAATATTTTTCAAATCATTAGCTAGTGGTGGTAATGTTTCTTCAGCATTAGCATTAGCGGGTTAAAGTGCTTGTTATCAAACATTAATATCAAATCAAGGTTGCATTTTTTTACGTGGTATTCATATATTATTTGAAATTCATTTACGTGATTGATCTGAAAGTATTAAGTTTTATACTAAAAATGGTAAAAATCAATATGAACAAGCTTTAGAAATTGCTTATTCAATATTAGTTGGAAAAGTAAAAGGATTAACTGATAAAGATTTTATTTATAAATAAAGAAAAAAGAAATGTTTTTTTTTTATTGAAAAAAAAGGTTTACTAATTGATCCAATAAAATGTCGTCAATATATCTGATCGAATGGTTTCATTACTTCATGCTTATTTAAACTATTCTTTGAATAATGAATGTCCGCAATCAGGTAAAATTAATTTACTTAAACAACATTATCGAAATGTTTTACCACGTTCAATTGATTATTATTTATTAATTGATAGTTTGAATTTATTATTTGGTGTTGTATATGAATTTTTTTCAAAAGATTCAATAGCACATGGAATTTATTTACAAAGTTTAGAACCATATATATTAACAAATCGTTTTGATACAATATTACCAACTGTTTTAAAAGATTTTATTAATTATTGTATTGATAATAATAATTTAAACCAATTAGAACAATGTTTAGATCGTCTTAATGTATCATGTCTTGATCTTGATCAAATAATAGAAATAACAAGAAAATATGAAGTTTATATGACATTATTACATATATATAGTAAAGGTTTTAAAGATTTTACAACGATTTTAAAAGAAATTATTGAAAAACTTGAAGATATTTTTATTGGAAATAATGGTACATAAAATGTCAATCTTCTGATTTATGAAAATTATCTCTGAACAGCTCTTTAGATCGATACTGACTACCAGAAGATGAATTGATTTTAGGAAAGTGCAGTTCCTTTCCGATCCGGATCCGCGACTCTCTAATTGATATTTATCTCTCTACATATCTAATAAGAAATTCTATCCGAATTTATAGAAAATGAAAATCGTATAAAATTAAATTTCTTATGTTTAGGTACTAGTTATAGTACAAAAATGACTTTAATTGGTAATCAAGCTCTTGTTTTTATTCAAACAATATTAGTTGGTGATATGTATTCATTTAGTGGTCGTCTTTCATACGATATGGTACATTTTAGACGAAATGAAATAGTTGATTTTCTATCTTATTTACATCTACGTCGTACAGGTGGTTTACTTTATAATAATTTACGAATATTACTTTATTTTAATACTCAAAATTTTTTTAATTTGTTAACAATGGCATTTCATAACGAGGAATTTTTATATGATATTGATACATTAACAAGACGAATATTTTGTGATATATTACTTCGTGTTATGGTTGGTGATGTTCAATTTTCATCTCATCAAATAAGTATTTTGTTTAATTGTTTATCAAGACAATTAGCGAAATCTGGACAACAACATATATTTGTTCAAGGAATGTTATTTGAACAGGTAATATTTTTTATTCATATGTTTCATGTGATTTAAGAGTTAAAAGGGAGCATTTTGATGAATTATTTATATCAGGTAATAAATTATCTTCAAAACCTCGATATTTATTTGGAACTAAATATAAAATAGATATTTTTTCTTATTGATTATTTGTATATTTAACATATTGAAATGTTAAGATACTTAATCGATCAAATGATGATGAATGATTCGTATGATTATAGTGTTTTTCATAATAGATTTCATTAGAATTTGGTAAATGAATATGTTGTTGATATTCATCTGAAGATAATTGATTATTATGAAAATATTCATTCTATACTCTTTTTTTCTATTTAAATTATAAATTTAAAACATTGAAAAATATTCTAAAGAAATTTACTTATTAATTGATTATTATTAGAAATTGTATTTATTGTTGATTGTGATATTATTCTTTCATTATGTTGATCTATTTCTTCCGGAATTGATCGCAGATGTGCAGAATCTGCCCGTCTGCGCGCACGCGCGTGTGGGGAAATTTTTTATGTTTGGGGAAATTTTTTGTGTTTTGGGGAAATTTTTGAAAAATTATTGACTGCAGTAAAAGTTTTAGGAAATCATTGGCTGTAGAAAACAGAGGTGCAGAATCTACTGGCATGCGCGTAAGGTAGTTTGGGCAAAATTTTTTATTTTTTTTGGAAATTTTCGCTACTACCGCTGGAGGAAATTTTTCTCTCGTGCGGGAAATTTTTTATTTTAGTGGCAGACTCTACGCTTCTGATTGATTAATTCAATGATTTTTTACTATTATTTTCTATTGATCGATTCCAAATATAACGACTTTGTTGAGATGATATTATTGATTTCGATGATAAAGATTGATCAATTGTTTTTAAAAAATTTGATTTATTTGACATTGGTTGGTTATTATCAAGAATAATTAGATATTGTTCTTGTTTAATTTCATTTGATGGATCAAGAATAATATATTATTTGAATTATCATCGTTTGATTCCGATTTATTTATTGATATTTGTAATCATTTGATAAAACATTATTTGCTGTTCGTTGCTAAATAGGAGCTAAAAGATTACTTTCATTAAAAGCCATAATAGTTGGCATTATGCGAACATGATAATGTTCTGCTAATTTTGTTGCTTGTTCCACATCGACTTTGTATAAGAAAATTCGATCTTATTTATGAATCACTTGTTAGAGTGCAAAATCTGAGGATGTGAATTTGCATGCCCGTCGAGTTGGTCCGGGTTCCCATCCACGAGTACTAGTCTGAAAAAAGAGCCAATTATAACTTAATTCTTATAAGATCATCGTCGAGATTGCTTGAGAAATGTTTAGAGTGTGTTCCGGGGCGACTATCAGGTGCGAATTAAAAAACTTCATTGAGCATCAAGAGTACAGTTCGGGACTGGATCTTTACAGAATCTAATATTGGTATTTGACAAAATGATTAACATTTTCTTAATACTTCCATAAAATATTTGTTTTTCTAGAGTTGTTTTTCATATACAGATGATACAAAATCTCCTTTTTGTTCATCAATAACTCATATTGATCCATCTCAATTATTATCATTTCTTAAAACTAAATTGAAATATTATCGTGAACAAGATGTTCTTGATGTAATACAAAAATATCAAGCATCATTATTAATACCATCAATTGTTTATTTACTTGAACATTTTAGTCAATATACCAAAACATTTGATCTTTTATTAAAATCAATGCATTAATGAAAAAACAATCGAACAATTATATCAAATGGTATTAGATTGTGTTTATTTTTGTCAACGTACAACAGTTAAATTAAAAGATAAAAAGGAACGTGAAGATTTATGGTTTAGGTTTTTTGAAAACAATTTTAGAAATATCATCAAAATCGCTTGATTATGAACAATCAGGTGCATTTCGTTGTATATATGGTGAAATATTAAATAGTATGATTGGTTATGTTACATTACCATCAATACTTGAACTTATTATGGTACAGATGCTGCTGATATAACAAAAGGTATTAGAAAAAGATCGAGTATAAATACAATACGTGGTTCAATTGAAATTCGTCAATTAATTCAATCAATGTTAGAAAACTGTTCATTTGAATTACGTTTATTTGAAACAACACAATGTTTATTACAACGCGATTTAAATGATGATATTCAAGAAATGTGTACAATTATTAATAGTAGTGTACCAATACGTTTAAATCAATGTACATATTGTTGAAAATTCCTTCATCAAGAACAAGATATTGATAAAAATCAACAGCAAAAAAATAAATTTGTTATATTTGCCTGTCGACATGTTTTTCATTTACGCTGTTTTATTGAAATTCAAACAGAACAATCAAATAATAATTTCTGTCTACAATGTACAACAAATCAATCATCAACAACAACATCAATTGTACGACCAGAATTAAGACGATTAACAGCAATACACAGTGATCAAAATGATAAACAAATTTCTTTGAATAATATTCAACAACAAGTTATTACAGCAATCCTTGACAGAAAACGTTTAAGAAAGAGTCCACCACAGGATCGAGAAACCCCATACTCCAAAAAAAAAAATTTTTTTACGGATTAAAAACTTTTTATTTTAGGCTGGTTTTCTAGCATTTTTATTGTCCCATTCGATGCACGATTAGGGGTGGCACTTTAACTTTAACTTTAACTTTAAAGAAAAGTTAAAGTTTAAAGTTGTTTAAAGTCACATTAAAGTCGTTTAAAGTCGCTTTACTTTTCTTGTTTTTGACATTTTATAGGCTATAAAATGTCAAAAACAAGAAAAATAAAGAAGTTTAAAGCGACTTTAAACGACTTTAAAGTAACTTTAAACAACTTTAAACTTTAACTTTTCTTTAAAGTTAAAGTTAAAGTGCCACCCCTATGCACGATCCAAATTTCTGGGATCAACTAACCTTGAGAGGTAATTTCTCAAAATACTGATTTTTGCTTGATGACTACGTAGTATCAATTCTGATTTAATCAGTGTGTAGTCATCAATATGGTCCTCATAACTTTTTTTGTTATATGATCAATCGAGCTAATATTTTGGGTATAGTAGTTTCACCTCATGGGCTATCAATTCCACAAATAAAATGAGGGGGTCAAAATTTTCGTGAGTATGGGTCCTTTAAAAATTTCTCGATGGTCTCATGGACGCCCTCTTAAATACTCATCATTTAAATTTAGATGCTGATGGTAAAATTCAAACGCCTATTATACAAGCATATTCACCAGCAGCATCATTACAATTACCAGACAAATGGCGAGAGTATCTTTCGTCATCAGTATGATCAGGAGACATATGTACCAGTCAACATGTCTCTTAATCGTGCAATGATTTTTTTTTGTTTTTGTTTGAAATAAGAGAAACAATGTTTCTTTCCGATTCTTAATCCTTTTCAATAAACATCTACATCAGGTATTTAATTAACTATTAAGTAATTTTTTTTTTGTTTCAGATATGCCAAACGATTATCAAAGAAAGAAACGAGACTTGATTGAGGTACGTGAAAACAGTGGTTCCTAAAAAATTTCTATGAGAATTCTGACTGAAGCTTATCAGAATTTATTTGTTTAGGTTTATGACTAATCTTGTGTTATTCCTATCAAGATCCTCCTTTGATTTAACTATAAATCTTGACAGGAATCTCGTATCAGAATCCATGACACATCTTGACTAAAACTTGAGGAACTCTTGAAAAAATCCTTTCTCTTATTCTTATCAGAATCTCAAGTAGGATTGAGTACGACTCCTCGTAGCATTCTGAATTGTCAATTCAGAAAAAAATCTGAGCAGAAAATTGAAAAACCATGAAAAGAATCTTGAATCAAATTTGGCATGTTTTTTTTGATTATCATGCTGAACAATTCTTCAAAGCTTTCTCAAGAAATAAATCAGGTTTAGCAGAGTAAACAATAACCTTCAAAGATTCTAACTGAATCACTATCCTTTCTAATTAGAATCCTGATTACCATTGGGCCTATCTTGCAAGGTTTGTAAACGCTTATTCTTGGGAAGGTCTAAACAGAATCCTAATGAAAGCTTGGCAGGATTAGTCAGTTTAGGATTCTGACTGATCTTGTTCTTTTCTTGTTTCGATCCTCGTTTGCCGTAGCTATTGATTCTGGTAGGATTCTAATAAGAAGAGTTGGTTCATATCTTGATGGAAATCTGATAATATCTCAGCGAAATCCTGTTCAATATTCCTATCAAGATCATGTGTAGGATCGAGAGTGAATACTGGTAGAATCCTGTATTTTCAGTGCAGAAAAATATTTGAGTAAGAACTTGAACAAATCCTGAAAAGGATTCTGTTTAGCCTTGAAAAATCCTGTAAGCAGGAATTACTAGCATTTGAGACAGGATTCTGAATAAATCTTGACCAGATCCTTGAAATTCAGGATTCTGACAAATCCTTCAGGCTTTCTCAAGGAATGATCGTGATTGAGACTAGGTTGTTATCTGTTTTAGGGCTATGATGATCAAGCAGTGATTGATGGTGCTGCTGGCGGTGCTGGTGGTGGTCCTTTAGTTCTACTTCCCCTTGCGGATGTCTTTACAGACGACTCATCATCATCATCATCATCATCCTCATTCACAACACTGTCTTCATCATCATCAACAACACCAACATTTTCAATGCCCTATATTCTTTTGTCGATTGTAACCTGTAGTAAGTCCTGTTAATAAGTGTTATTAGTATTTTCATATTCAAATATTCTTTTAGTTACTATTGTTGGTGTATATATGTTATATGGTAAGATTTTACTTTCAAAACTTTTAACGAGGTAATAATTTTATTAAAAAGAATCATTATTTATACTTGTAGTCGAAAATAATGGACATGTTGAAGTTGGTAAAATAAATGATCGACAAGCTGAAGGTATAGAGTTGGTTTTTTTTCTACTTCAATAATTTTGTAGTTTTTAGAATTTAAAAAACAAATGCAAGAAAAATTACAAGAAAAACTTGAATCAATGAAAGAAAATCTGGAACGTGTATTACAGGCTAAAGTTGAAGGAACTAAAGCACCACTTGAAAAAGATTTAGCTAATGTTCAACAAAATTTAGCTAAACTTGAAGAAGATCGACAAGTATTCCAAGAAAAAATTCCTCAGAAATTAAATACAGCTGAAATAGGTAAAAAAAAATTGTTTATTTCTTTAATTATTATTTTTTTTACTTCTCATTAAGGTCGACAAGAACAATTAGATCGTTTATTAATAGAAATATTAGATCGTTTAATCGAAACATTAGAGAATATAGTAAAAAAAAGTGAAGCTATTAGAACTGTACCAAAAAGTGATACAATTTCAATTGAAGAAATTCAATAAATCAATATGAACTTCCAATAAATCTTTCTTTTTTTCCTGTATCGAAATACTATATTGTTGTTATTAGTATGTTTTTTTTCTTATTCAAACTTGACAATCACTAATATTTTTTTATCTTGAACATATAATGCCTGTGTCAGATATATCTTCTATTTTCCTCAATAAATATTTTTCTTCTCGTGTCAGTAGACACTTCTCGAAAAAAAAACACATTAATAGATGGACTTTGAAATATGATAAAGATTTAAATAGCAAAGAGGAAAACTTTTTTTGGATTCCGATGATATTAATTTTTTGGGAAATATAATTAATGTCAGGCTTAGTTGATGATAATCATAAAGTGTAAGATATTTTCAATGGTGTTATGCTTTTTTTAGTATTGATTCAGAAAGAATGTCCACTTTTTGATTTGACAAAATAATAAGATTTTAAACAGATAAAACTATTCTTTTGATTTCTTGCGGTTTATTTCAACCCTCTGCTCGGGATAGGGTCTAAAGGGAGATAGTGCTGATTATAAGTGGCTTATGAACAAAGGAAGCAATTAGAGCAACAAGCAAAGATAACATGAGTCTTGTTATACGAGCAGAATGCATAGACCATTGACAAACGAGTAGCTTAAGATGTGTAGAGCAGAACAGAATTATACAAACATAGTGCTGTGGGAAGGAAAGCTCGAAAATAATGTAAATTCTCAAGAAACAAACAGGTTGCCATTTTCCTTCTTTCGACATTTTTCCAGCATACCTGTTACTATGAGATTTTATTGATTATAATAGAATTGTTTATTTATTTACAGTCCAGAGTATCGAAACTCTTTTTGATTTCGAATACTATTTAATTTATAGAACTTAATTTTCGAGCAAATTTTTTCTTTAAGTATAGTCAATTTCAATTTATATGAATTTTCAAACATAAAAATAACATCAAGGGGGACACAAACTGATTTCAATAGCTGAAATCAAGTTGCAATCACGTGAAATCATTTGCAATCACCTGAAATCATACGAAATCGTTTGAAATCATCTGAAATCATTGGAAATCATAAAATCATGAAATCAGTTTGTTCTCCTTTAAATAACATAGAGAAGGAAATGATAAAGATATTGAGGTGGTGGATTTACTTACAGATGATAATTGTTTCGCGACTGATAACTCCATCGTACCAGTGAAAGTAGATTTCAATAAGATTAGAAAAAGAATAAAAACATTTGTGCCGACGAAGCATTCTTTCGAAGTCACAACTATTTTGCCAGAATTTCAGTCCATAATTTGACAATGGATCAAATAAGCAGGCTTTCTATTTGAATATTGCCGATGTACGGGTTCATGATTCTTAGAATCTTCGTAGAAGTGCAGCTAAAACAGACACTCTTCTTTTATTGTGAAATAGGATCGTTTTGTTAAACAATCAATATCTCAAGAAAGAAGTATTTTTCTTACAGAAAACTTTCAAGATATTCTAATAATCATAAAATCAATTTTGTCAAATACCTTGCTATCGATGTAAATTCCAATAAAATGGCCACAAATCCATAAGGACGATCCATCAGCTGGAACCCTTTTAAACGTTTATACTTTCACGGCTAAATTGTGAAATAATTAGAGCAATTGCCTCGGTAATTATTAATAAAAAAAAGATTAAAAAAATCGATCTTTCATTCAACTGCAACTTAGCGTTTTAACTTTGAAAATATATGTCATTGTATTCCTTGTTGAATGACAGATCATTTCTCATCAAAAAAATCCGAACATCTTTTCTGACTAATCTTTAATATTCTTTTCCGATTCTTAATCCTTTTCAATAAACATCTACATCATGTATTTAGTTAAGTAATAAGTAATTTTTTTTTAGTTTCAGATATGCCTCAAGATTATCGAAGAGGAAGAGACGAAACAGTTATTGTAAGTAAAAACAATGGTTAATGAAAAATTTCTATGAGAATTCTGACTGAAGCTTATCAGAATTTATTCGTTTAGGTTTATACATCGGCGGACCAGCAGTAAAATATTTGGTGTGGCAATAATAATTTTCGGTGCGGCAATTCCTAGAAAAAATCGTTTTAAGGATCAATTTTTTTTCAAATTATCGGTTATTCCGAATATTTTTGCTGTGGCAACTGCTACAGTTTGCCATGCTGGTGGCCCACCGATGGGTTTATGACTAATCTTGTCTTATTCCTGTCAAGATCCTCCTCTGATTTGACTATAAATCTTGACAGGAATCTCGTATCAGAATCCACGACAGGTCTTGACTAAAACTTGAGGAAATCTTGACAGAATTCTTTCTCTTATTCTTATCAGAATCTCAAGTAGGATTGAGTGCGAATCCTTGTAGGATCCTGAATTGTAAATTCCGAAAAAAAATCTGAGCAGAAAATTGGAAAACCCTGAAAAGAATCTTGAATCAAA